CGCAACCAAGAAGGTCTGTGAATGATCATGCGAAAAAGGACCTCAGGTGAACCACTTACTATAGAATTAGGACCTAAACGTGCAGTTTGAAAGAAGTAGGACTGAAGTGACACTGCCCAGAAACTTTTAGGACCGCCAACGTATTTTTCTCGCCGGCCGGTTGGGCCCTCTGTCGACATGGCATGGGTCAGCGTGCTACGCGGGCAGGTCAACGAGCGACTCGTGAAAAAAGGACCTCAGGTGAACCACTTACTAAAGAATCAGGACCTAAAGGTGCATTTTGGAAGAATTAGGACTAAAGTGACACCCCGATGAAACTTTTAGGACCTCCAGTGCATTTAACTCTATATTTTTCTACAGACTAAGTCAAACTTAAAGAAGTTTTTGGAACGGAGGGTCATGCTTTCCCACCTACCCCTAGGCACATCCGACCTCAGCCAATGCTGCACTAGTAGCCACCTTGTCTGGTTAGCCTCTATCGATAGCAACCTCACATCTCTGACCTCCTCGAACTTTAAAATGACCAACCAGGGACTTGCTCCTGGTGGCATTTGTTTTAAAGAAGAGACATGAGCACACACACCCTGCAGAGGTTGAGCCTCGAACACAACAACCTGCTACAGCTAGCCACCTCATCAGGCAGTCAGTCTCAAAGAGGAGCGTGATAACTACCACAAAGCTGGCTGGTGTTCGGGTCTAGTGGTGGGGATGTATTAGTGGGCGGCGGCAGCTTGATTTCAATGCAGAGATGGTGCGATTCATGCTGCATCCAACTTTGGATCCAAAGGTGGAGATGGCGACTGCATCCTGTCATAGGTTTAATGATTTGTGTGTTATGCTGCACAGGGGGCGGATGGTAGCAGACCTACTCCAACTACAGTGAACCAACATGAGTGCCATCACCCAGTTACATTTGCCTTTTTACCCTACTGTCTCACATCAGCCAACACACAATCATCATCATTGCAGACATTGTGAAGGACCTAGAGACATAGAAGGCAAGGATATTTGCATCCAGTACATGTGAAATACAAAGGCTACTGGCAAGTTTTGTGAATACGGTGATTTTGCAGAGGCTTTTATTGAAGGTGGAACTTCATTGTACCATTTATCAAGATTGGGTACTTTGGAATGGCATGCATCTAAAGTAATCCCAACAAACAAAATCAAGTTTACATCCTAATCAAACTACATACACAAATGGCATCTGATCATGGAGATACCCCTGTAGCTAAACCATCAAACACAACCTTGTACTAGTTTCATGAACTTGTTAAGACTTGAGACCAAAGCGTAGGCCATGTGGCATTAACACTGAGAAATATATCTTACATGACTCATCATTTGGACTAAAGGCAAAGTTCAGTCTGTAAGTCATAGAATGAAACATGTACAACAAGGATTACTTTTAAAATGTTTTATCAAATTAGATTTTAATGCTAAACGAGTAAACATTGACTGCACATAGTACAAATTTTATAATGGTTCACAACACAAGCTGCAAAAAGGGTACCTTGGTTATTGTCGGTGAGACCCTTCGTGAAGGGTGTATTACACGAGGATTAATTGTTTCTGATGTTTCCAAGGTTATAGATACCTGTTAAACACATTAACTAGTTATATGTTTAAATCCCAGTTCAATACATAATAATTTATTGAACTCGGTCTTTTACCTCTAGACATCTCCGCGTTCCAGTTCCATGAAAAAAAGTGAGTGCTCCACCAATCTGTAATCGGCAAAATAAGATAATCAATCTACCAACAACAAAGCAGTAAGCCAGTAGCAAGCGCAATAAGGGTAATTAAAATACCATATCACCAAAGTAATAAGTTGAGTCAGAATTCTTTGGTGAGAAACGAAGCAAGACTTGATCATCTATTCGTATATTATATGATCTTCCTCTCATAAAGCCTTCTGCTGCAAAACATTGAATGTGCAACTAAGAATTGGAAATCAATGTTTGTCATATGGCATGTAATTTACAACAAAAGGAGCAATGATGGATTAAAATAACTCCATAACTGAGACACGGTGGCTTACATCCAGATGGTTCAACATGTTTTGGCGTGAGAGGGAGTCCAACGTCATCTTTTGGGCGATCAGAATCTAGAGAAAATCTTTCGCCATTTGATGGACGACGATCCAAATGCAATTGATCTAGCTTCCTTAGAGGTGATACCGGTCCTGTTTGTGCCATTTACTTCATTATAAACACCCAAATATTTACCATTAAACATTTACAGAAAGGACAAATAGGTAGCATTCTCATGGAGACCTGACTAATGTAAGACTTGTTATTTCATTGTGAAATGGAAGAGGAATAAGCCCAGTCAAATTGAATTTGAAAAGAAAAGAAAAAGGAGAACTGAAAACAGGTCCTTGTGCATGAAAAGAAAACTGGGAGCTAAAACACTAATAATTAATATGACAATATGTAAGTGTAGACAGAATTAATCATTAGGAGGCACCAAGGCAGATAGAATCCTGTAGAGCAGAACTTGACAGTATTGGAACATTGGTGTTTCCTTATGAATATCACAGCTCTTGCAGTCCCACACAAACTATAAGGTTCACTCCTTACCTCCACCATGGTCATCAGAAATCTCGGACACTGAGAATCGAGGAATTGCATTATATGACGGGAAAGTGGGGCGCTCTCCCTGAGAATACAATGCTTCATTCATGGAGAGACGTGATGATAAGGAGAGCGTCGATGTTGAGGTCCTGATGGGAAAGTCCGTATTTGATTTGGAAGGGTTATATGAGGAAACCGATGAAACTTCATCTTTCGAACTATCATATCCTTCTTCTAGATCAGTATTATCATTTGCTTTGATCTGCAATAAGAATATTATATGTCAGCATGGGTTGAAACAACAATCATGGAAATATACGGATATCACTGCTTAGCATGATTAGTCGATAATTACTATGTACATGAAAAATACCATACATTGGAAAACAGTTCAGATCCTACTAACATTTTCAATAGTTGACAAAATTACAAACTACAGATCTTCTGCATACTGATATGTCCTTGTTTAAGTAATCAAAATAACTACGGACAATTCATACAAGATATCACTGTAGAAACAAACTCATGCAAGATAACATGTAAGAAACGGATAAAAGGTAATTTAAGTGCAATGAAATCTCAGAGATGGGTTACAAGCTAAATAAGGACTCACCCATTCTGACTCATCATCTTTTTCCCTCCAAAATATACTCAGTTGCTCAACTGAGAGTGGAAAACTCCCTGAGATATGTAAACAGTTTAGCATTGATGAGGATTAACATAGTATGCAGTTTAGTATCACTAAAATTCTGCTGTTGCACATCCAGTAACAACTCTGCAGCATTCAGTTGTTGTTTTCCATGTACGTATTTAAACAGGATTGTGGTGTCAGTCTCTACTATATTATTTACGACTGTCGTGCATATAGGTTTTCATGAAAGGTTGAAAACAGAAAGCTACATGTATTTTCCTAAAAGAAGGAACCACTGGAATTCAGTCATCTATAGGAACCCCGGTGAAACTGGAATTGATATAAAGAGTATCCATGTTGAACAAAATCACTTGTGCACCACTGAGGATAAGGTGTTACGAAAGCACAAATGTACCAACCGCACAAAGATGTTAAGATTATGAAAACTTCAAAAAGATCCATATAACAATCACAGCACGAGATGTGACCTGTGAGGAGTGGGTGTAGCAATACAAATAAAAAAGGCATTATTGAGCACCTCATGATGGTTACAAAATACAGTATCGTAATTAATAATTATTTCCAACCTTGCCAAAATATATATATGCGCCCACCCACACACACACAAAAGCTATGTAACCCACATGTTCAGTGAATAAGTAAGCCCGCATGCTTCAGTGAGTGAATCCACTACTTAACAGAAAAGTAGTTTAATCAACAACATACTTTTAAAATGCAGCAGAGAGTAATACACAGGATGACTGAAGTGCAAGAGCCTTAAATTATTGAATTTACATCACTGACCTTCTTCATTTAGTAAGTTGCTGCTTTTCTGGGAAACACATATCTGCAATGGGACTCGGGTTTCCTACAGAAATGAATTCAATTTTAAGCTATCGCTCTGAGACATTTGGCTTATTTTAATGTCCGAAACTTCCATAATTGCGTTACAAGACTGGGTATGAAGTAGAGAATGATGCTAGAAATAAGAAAATGGAATCATGTTGTTTTCAGTACAATGGTTAAGAGAATTTTCAAAGAACTCAGCTCAAGGCTAGCTTAAGCAGCACAAACATGCATTGACTATCAAATTCTCCTTTAAGGAGATAGAAAAATTAACATTAGTCTTGGTGTTTCTCGTATAACAGAGGAATTAGATGGACCATATAATGCTCAAATATATGGAAGCCTGCAGTTGCCTCCCATCATCACAATATAATGGAGACATGCAGACAAGAAACAAAATAAAAGAAAAAAATTGTCGGCGTATTCTTCTGATGCTACAGGATAGTCAACCAAGAACCAATATCAGTCAATGTCTTTCTGTGGGGTTCTAGTTTTACACTTCCAAGATTAAGTTTTCGAATTAAGTCAGGTCCTCATGCCCTAAAACTCCAGACATGTGTGATTATGAGTTTAAGACTAAAATTTTTAACACTAAGTAAGATTGTTTACTAAAATACTGTATGTTCTTAACCCTTCAGTAAACTTGACTACCATCTTGCTGTGTCCCTTGGATAGAAGGATGTAGGGGTAATCAATAGAAGGCCGAAGGTTGAGCTGTGACACCCCATTTTGCAAGGTATTTACTTGGTTTTCTAATCATACATTAAAATTTAATATGTAAACAATGGGCTTTAGTTTTAAAATATATTATCTTGCTAGGATAGTTAGATTAGAATCTTAGATCCAAAATTATCGCATTAGTACATCCGCTAAACATGCACTAGAAATATTTCACAAGTCACGGGCTAGAGAACTCAGTTTGAAGAATAATACAAATCACCAATGAAATTATGGATGGTCAACAAATCAAAGCTTCGAACATTTCAGCAAAGGAGAGGCTCCTACTGCAATTAAATTAATAAAAGAATAATATTTACAAGACTAGGGTCAATTTGATTTCAGCACAGATTGTCTGAACTTAAGGAGTAGAATTTTATGCCAACTACAAGAAGAAAACTCACCAGCTGAACCGCACTATTTACATTGCCTTTAGTTTGATCCTCGTTACCCAAGTCAATCAATCTCCCAAACAATGTACTTCTAACATAATAAATATAGCGAATACTGATGCCCCTATATGATGGTGGTAAAATCCTTGGGAGCTCTAGACGTACAATATCTGCACACAAAAAAAAAGAGCTGAGTTGCAATTTCTTTTAAAAAAATGTAGACCATTGTATTTCACATGATGCAGAGGATTTAGTTAAGTGAGCAGGTTAACAGGGGGAAATTATCCATTGTCAACTGAAGATCCTGGGCAAAACAGGAACTGGCCCTCCTAAAGTGTTTGAAAAACATGCAAGCAGCATATCCCTAAATAGTAAATCCTCATAGTCATGAGTCATGACCTTCCGTAACAGAGGTATAGCCAAAACTGTATTCACTTTGATCCACAAGTAGAATCATGGATGCTTAAAGTTTGATTTTGACGTAATGTGAAAAATGAGAACATGGATAGATCAATAACTAATATTTAAGATCAAACACAGGGTGGTTGACGAGACAGGTGATTTGCAGAATAAGAAGCAAAGCAAATTCAAATTACTGTATTACACTAACATGTCGTACAATACTAGGAAAAATGGAGGTAAAGCATATGAACAATATTTACTTTACGTTTCAAGCAATCTAGAAATGTAGCATTACATGATAAGTGCATTATCAACCTCCATTGATCCTCCAAAACAAGAGATAACTTACACGTTTTTGTTTGCCCCGAAGCTATTATTACTTTGGAGACTAATGAGGGTGCCGAACAATCCAAAAACAAATATTCACCTATATAATCAATTATAACACAAGAGGGTTATCACAAACAAAATAAAAGACACATTGATCAGTTATTTAAATGAAAGCTAGGTTGTTAAATACCTCTCCTTTGCTTAGACCCTGGTAAGGGCTTTGGAACAGAGAACCATTGGCTATCCAACTTCTCAATTCCTTTAAGTTCGAAAGATAGCCCATCTATCAAGAGAGATGTGACATCTCCACCTGACGCTGCCCCCACTTCATCCTTTAAACTAGCGGGACTACAGATTTCGATAGTCGCGGTAACTGAATCACCAGGTCTATACACTTCCTTGTCTGTCTGGAGCTTAAATTTTGGAGACAACTGCTGCTTGGCAGCTGAATCAACCTTACTGTCTTCAAACCACCCAACACTTTTGAAAAAGGAGAGCCCTTGCGGAAGTGGAAGTCGGAGTGACATATTACCAGACCAGTAACTCTTCCAATTCAACAAATTTCCACCGGTCCATCGAGAAAGAATAAGCCCACAAGATGCATCATTCTTCTAAAGCTGTGGCTGGTAACAATGATACAGTCCACCTGGAGATTCATCATGATTAAATTTATGTACATCAAACTGCGGCAGTAACTTATTCAGGAGGATTTTCTATATGTCAAAACAACTTTAGTACAAATCCACAATTCTCTCCATAAAGTGGAGAAGTGTAAATTTGTCCCAAATAATTTTCCAGGTTGAGAAGCTTCTCTTTGTTTGGAACTACTGGTACACTTGACTTACTCAAATTCAAAACTAGCACGGAGAAAAAAAAACATAATACTCCCTCCGATCCATATTACTTGTCGCTCAAACGGGGAGCGACAGGACTTAAGAGTGAACATAACTAATCAAGCAAGTAGTCCTTATGCTGCATAAATGGTGATGCGAAGATGCTGACTAGCCAATGCCTTTCAGAGATAGAATGTCGTTGATTGGTTTGGAAGTGATCGCCTCAAAGCATGGCGAATCAACTCAGAGCAGCATCTCATCTGGATCCAGACACGCGAATCTACCTACCACGCCGGATCTGGCAGCAGCTCAGGAAGGAACTCGTCCGAGCGGGCTCAGCCGCAAGGGGGCCTGCTGCCTAGGAAACGCGATGGGGAAAGGGGGGCGCCGGGCGGGCGAGAGATACGAGATGTGAGAAAATCGCCCAGTGCCGCCAAACAATGGACGCATTCGCTCCGGCGGAGATAGGTGGCAGACGGAGATCGAAGAGAAATCGACTTACCGGGGGAGATGACCACTCCGGCCGGCGGGATCTCCACTCCGCGCCCGCCAACCCAACCCAGCAGAGGGGAGGACGAGGACGGGAACGAGGACGAGGACGGCGGATGGGTTGGAGGCCGGTGCTTGGGTGGAGTGAGGCGCCGGCGAGCGCGAGAATTGGGGTTTGAGGCCCTCGGATTTGGGGAGACGAGAGGGAGGGGGGAGGGACGACGTTGCCTTGCCTGCTGCAGGTGCGTCGTTCACCTCCTGTTTGCTTGTGTTTTGTTTTCCTTTGAGCAAAAAGCACGGCACCTGTGGATCTCAGCCGGAACAGTTTTATTTCAGAAGAAAATTTGAATTTGTTGATACTTTGTGCATATCGCGCATATCAGGGTTGAGTCGGATACTCGGGTAAAAGCATCTCTATCTAGCAGATCTTGCATAACTCCGGCAAACTGCGTTTTACGGGATGTTATACAGGATGGCCTAATAAACCGGCCCGATCAGATCCACGAAAAAGGCCATGGCCTGTAAATTTTTTGGAGGCGGCTCGTAAACTGGGGAGCAACTAATTAACGAGCGCTCCTTCGGGAGCCTCGCAACGATCAGCGCCACTTGGCGCGCTCACAGTCATTCGCCACGTGTCGCGTTCTGGATGCTCCCTCCGGATTTTATTTTTTTTATTTTTACGCACGCGTTTTCGGCTTTTTAAAAGGTTTTTCCCGAGTTTTTTTGACGTTTTGATTTTTTACCGGTCTTCCCCAGCTTTTCGACCAAAAAAAAATTTCGAAAAAAAAATTTTGCGCAAAAAAATGTTTTTTTTCGTGAGAGTCACGATTTTGTTTCCGCGAGAGGCACGGCCGTGCCTCTTGGAACAGCAAAAAAACGTGTTTTCTGGTTTTTTTTTCTTTCGCGAGAGACACGGTTGTGCTTTCGCGAGAGGCACGGACGTGCCTCTTTCGGAAAGGAAAAAAACGCGTTTTCTGTTTTTTTCGCGAGAGGCACGGTTTTGCTTCCGCCAGAGGCACGGTTGTGCTTTCGCGAGAGGCACGGGCGTGCCTCTTTCGGAAAGGGGAAAAACACGTTTTCTGTTTTTTTTTCTTTCGCGAGAGGCACGGTTTTGCTTCCGACAGAGGCACGGTTGTGCTTTCGCGAGAGACACGGGCGTGCCTCTTTCGGAAAAGGAAAAAAAACGTGTTTTCTATTTTTTTCTTTCGTGAGAGGCACGGTTTTGTTTCCGCGAGAGGCACGGTTGTGATTTCGTCAGAGGCACGGGCGTACCTCTTTCGGAAAGGGAAAAAAATCCGTGTTCCCGGTTCGGTTTTCTCGTCGGTTTTTTCGTCCGGTTTTTTCGTGAAAAAAAGTTCGTCAAAACCTATCAACATGGGATCTAGTTTTGAAGATCTCGGCGCGAGGAATCCAATGGCGAAAGCAGTTCGAGATTTGGACGCACGGTTTAAGAGATAAAACATTTTGAATAAACGGATCTACAAAAAAAAGGAAAACTCCCAGGTTGCGAGGGAGTTGGAGTGATCTCCGCAAGGAGTACTCCTTAATTAGTGATTTCGCGTAAACTGCCCCGTTTCTGCTATATTCAATTGCCGGCACTTTCTAGAGTTCCCGTCCCATAAATCCCCAACCCTCCTCCGCCGTGAACCTACTCCCTTCGGCAAGAAATCATCTCCCCTCCGACAGCCATTTCCGGCACCTCCGGCCACCAGATCTCTCCGGCGATGGCGACTGCGGGTGCGGGGCGTGGCGGCAGCAACGGTTTTGGTCGGCGTGGCGGGTTCGCCGGCCGCAAGTGTCGCAACGACGCCGAGGCCGGCAGCTCCTCCCTCCGCTCTCTTTGTGATGGATGCACAAAGGGAGGCAACGCGCATCCACGGCGCGAAGTCTTGCAGCACCGGGTCGTGCGCGTGGGCGAGCTTCCAGCGCCTCGGGAGGATCTTCGCCTCGGCCCTCCGGCGGCTCCTGGTGACCGAGACGGCATGGTGGCAGGCGAGGGAGGCCGAGGCGGACGGTGATGTAGCTGCGGTGGGGCGCATGCAGGAGCTCTAGAAGGAGTACCAACTCCAGTAGATGCTCTCCTCCATCCTCATCTACCACACCCTGCACGGCAACAAGCTGCCGCCACACGAGGACGGCTCCGGCGACGAGGGCGACTCCGACGCGTAGAACCCAGGTGATGTTTAATTAGAAGTGGACCCGCGTATGAACTACTTTAATTTACTGTTGTACTATGTTTAATTAAGTTGTATGAACTATGTGTGGAACTCGGGCGAACTCCGACTATGTATGACTGTTTAATTATGGCGCAAACTGCTAGCTTTCAAAATCGTGTTGAATTCCGATCCTAATGCGGGATCTGTTTCGTGTCCACATGTTTCATCTCGTAAATTTCGTTTACAGGTGCCCTTATACGCGTTTTGTGGGACGCGCGGTTGTGGGATCTGCTAGAGATGCTCTGGATATCGAGAGAGCCCGATAAAACAATTTGAAGTCCATGGAGCCGATTGTTAAGGCAAATTCAACACGGTCTGTTGGCCCGCAAATTTGAAGTTCAGGGAGCCAATTGTTAGTGAGCTGGTCTGGAAATTTTTAATCATTAACTGAGGCTCATCAAAATTATTCAGACAGATTCGGACGTTGGAAATCCCACAAACTAGTATAAAAATTGAGGGGAGGTCTGCGAGAGTCCGGACGTCTGCCACATCGGAGTCCGACAACGTTGGGCCACCCAAAACCGAGGCGGAGCCCGCGCATTTGGAGACCCCTTCCACTATTCCCGCACGAAAGCCTCCCCGCGCTGATCGCAGCCGCCCCGCGCCGCTCTGGCCCTCACCTGATCTTCCACTACATGTTCCCCCGTCCTCCGCAATCGTGATGGATCCACATGAGCCCTTCGAGATGTTTGTGGTCCCTTCAGACCCGAAGGAGGTCACGCTTGGCCGCGTCCATGAAATGTCAAGGATGGTCCACGAAGACAGGGGAGAAGAAGAAGGCAATGACAGTCGGAGCTCGTCCTGGGAAGAAGGTGATGGCGCCCCCCATGCGATCACAATGCTACCCCCCTCCCAGATCAAGGCGTCGTACTACTACGACGACCATCTAAACGGGCAACCCAATACAAGCAACCACCGCAACACTTCACTGCCTACTTTGTCCACCTTCACCGTATATCATCGACCTTAACACGGACTACACGTTCACAGAGTCACCAACGAACGCCCGCTCGCAGTTTCCATTGGAGTAGCCCTCATTCATTGGTGTGTGTCGGTGTCAAAACCGGCGGATCTCGGGTAGGGGGTCCCGAACTGTGCGTCTAGGCGGATGGTAACAGGAGACTAGGGACACGATGTTTTACCCAGGTTCGAGCCCTCTTGATGGAGGTAAAACCCTACGTCCTGCTTGATTAATATTGATGATGTGTGTTACAAGAGTAGATCTACCACGAGATCAAGGAGGCTAAACCCTAGAAGCTAGCCTATGGTATGATTGTTGTTCGTCCTATGGACTAAAGCCATCCGGTTTATATAGACACCGGAGAGGGCTAGGGTTACACAAAGTCGGTTACAATGGTAGGAGATCTACATATCCGTATCGCCAAGCTTGCCTTCCACGCCAAGGAAAGTCCCATCCGGACATGGGACAAAGTCTTCAATCTTGTATCTTCATAGTCTTGGAGTCCGGCCGATGATGATAGTCCAGCTATCCGGACACCCCCTAGTCCGGGACTCCCTCAGTAGCCCCCGAACCAGGCTTCAATGACGACGAGCCCGGCGCATATGTTGTCTTCGGCGTTGCAAGGCGGGTTCTCCTTCAAACTTCATGTTCCTGTCGAACAGTGTCCGGCTTCCTCATAAATGTTGCGCTCCTTGGCTTCTACGCCCAATAATGGCCTTCTTCCACGTGTCGTATGAATGCGAAAAGCTAGGGTATTTTTACATTTATCCCCCCAGCTGTGCGAACGAGCCGCCTATAAGAGAGGTGAGGATCTAGATCCAACTCACACCATCCTCCTTCCGCAAGTACTCATCGAAGCGCCTCTGACAAAAATCCATTCTATCATGGACAGTCGACGCGGCTCCTCCTCTCGCGCTCCCATCCCTAAGCCAGGAGATTGGGGGAGATGCTCAGTTCCACACAACGAGCTAGTGGCGCTCCAAACCGAGGGATATCTTCCCCCAGCCTTCATGGTTCGGTTCGGGCCG